CCTTTTTTTTTTTTTTTTAGTTGATTATGATGGGGGACGCCATGTGCAGGAGATGCACGCGCCCCGTTTTCGGGCGCGTGGCGCGGCCTCAAAGTCTCTCGGCCTCGTGGCCTAGGCCGCGGGGTAGCGGCCGGCCTCCTCAGCCGCGGACGAGGCCGCAGGATCCGCGACCGTGGGGGTTTGCGTGTCAACATATGCCTTTGTGAACTCAAAACCTGCGGCGCAGCACGTGTTTTTTTTTTGCCTTTGCGAACTCAAAACCTGCGGCCTCTGCCGCTGCTTCATATCATAATATCATGTAAAGATTTTGTGTGTCAATTTACTCGTGGTTATTCATTTTAAATTCAAATAAGTGATCATGTAAGGTGTTGTGTTGACGTTCAAATTCAAGACCCAATGGCCCCTAAATTCTGCTGAAGTTCACCTTTGCCTGATTATTAAGTTCATAAGACTTCATCTTTCCCTAGTTATATATGATGGGGGACGCCATGTGCAGGGTTAAGAAGGTAGTTTGTCGGACGTATTTACTAATCGCCCGGGGTAACCTGGGGTAATCAATGCTGACGGGGTTAATCTGATGATGATTGTATGAATGATTCTTTTGTACAGGGACATTGGACCCATTTCCAACAAGTTCAGCTCCCCACTAATAGATGGAGCAGACAGGGACATTTACTAGAGGAGGCTGCACCGGTTCGAATCCGTGCTTGCACGGAGGAGGTCCTGTGGCTGAGAATGTAAAGACTGTACTTTAACCGGATAACCACCCCGGAAATCATACCTGGATGTGGTGGCCCGTTGACTATGTTCCACGCCCGGCCGCGGCAGGAGGGGGGAAATCGGCCGCGGCCTCGGCCGACGGCCAAATCTGCCAGGTTCGGCCTCGGCTGACCAGCCAAGTTCGGTGCAGGATTTTTATTTTTTTTTCTAACGCATGGAAAAAAAAAAAATGGGCGTGTAGGGCTAAAAAAACCCTACACGCCCATATTTTTTTGGGGGGCATTGTTGTTTTCTATTGCGGAACAAAAAATAGAAACAGAAAAAAAGAAAACCGAC